TGTGTGTGTGTGTGTGTGTGTGTGTGTGTGTGTGTGTGTGTGTGTGTTACTGATTACCTGTAATTCCATTATCCTCTCTTGAGAACTGAGTTGATCACATGACAACCTCACATGACATGTAAGACTGATCACCAAGTGGATACACAGCAGAACTTCACTCTCTCTCCACATTTCTTCCTCTCTCTCTTCTGTCTTTCTTCTCCTATTATGTTATGTTGCTTTGTATCGACATTTCCTGAACAAACACACAGATGTGTAATTGTAATGTATCATTTAAGAACTGAGGGCATGAATATATGGATGTTTTCCCCTCATGTGATCTTTATTTTTGCGTGGCTCACAGAGTTTTGCTACTTTGTGTTTCCGCTGGCATTCCATGTGTTGACTCTGCAGCATTCCTGAGAGGCCAGTCTGGTATCTAACTGTCCCGTATCAATCTTATCTGGAAATTTAGCCGTTTGGTGTAAATTACAAGAAAGAATTCTTGAATATTTTCTTATTATTATTATTATTATTATTATTATTATTACTACTACTACTATATCTGTCTTATTAGTTAGACTCCAAATATTGTTGGTTTTACTCGTCTTTTTTATTTCTCCTCTCATATTCTGACTCAATTGAGATTATTCTCTACATATAGCTCGTTACTTATGCGTGAGACCCGGCAGTGATACTTGGTCGTGGTAAATGAAACCAGGATCAAACAGGAGACCAGGAGAATTCCTAAGCAGCTTATCGGGCAGGAATGCATGAATGTATTTTATTCAGCACATCTCTCAAGTGAAGTCACACATTTTCGAGTCTGTCATAATCTAAGAGCTGACAAATCATTAACTTGTAATCCTTCCTGTCAGCTCAGTTTGTGTGCATAGAGAAGTTACACTTATTCAGTCTCTGTCTGTCTCTGTCTCTCGCTCTGTCTGTGTGTCTCTTTCTCTGTTTCTCTCTCTCTCTCTCTCTCTCTCTCTCTCTCTCTCTCTCTCTCATTTTTGCACAGACATGATTACTAGAATTTGTACAAAGCTATTTCACCAGTGTTCGTTGTTAGTTGGGAGTTTTTGTGTTTCCTCTTTCCTTGATGGAGTTAATTGACTTTGAGTTAATTGACTTTGAAAGTGTGCTTTCATGCCTTTTTAAAGCTCTCCAGCGTTTTTTGCTGTGTGTGCCTGAAGGAAGTTTTAAAATGTGATTGGATATCTGAATGCATTCAAGCAGAGTTCTGGCCATAAGTTGTGTTAGGTTTCAAAATGAGCTTTCTCGTGCTTCCCATCCTCCAGGTATAGGTAGCCTCTGTGAACCCTTCTGTCCTATAATAAATCAATATATCTCTAAGTGATAGGATATTGACAAAAACCCATTTAGGGCATCTAGACATGCATTGCACTAACAACAGCATCACCGATCGCATTTCATCACAACCGGGGCAACATTACCCGTTCAGTTATGATGTAGTATCCCTTTCTCTAACAACTTAATCCAAAGTTTCTGCTCTCGGTTGTGTCAGTGTTATTGCCCTTTATTACCAGAGAGCCTGCGTGTGTTGACAGATACTGTAGTGCTACTGAAACGGGAGGCTTCACTTTGTTGCAGCACCATTGAAAACGTTGTAGCGCTCAGTATTTTTGGCTCTACTGAGGTTGTACGGGAGACTGTGCCAAAGCTGTAAGAAGCAGTACAGAAAAATACATCCAGAAGATCCAGATCTTCCCTGCAGCAGAACTCGGCTGGGGGAAATGTCAGCTAGGCCAATGGTGTTGTGAACTGATTCAAAGGAGCTTGTGTATACCACCCTTGGGGGCATTGACAGGTGTTGTTGGTGTTGTGCTATTCTGTCTGAACTGTTCCTAAATGCTCTGGATGTGATGGGGAACTGATCGTTCATGGACGAACAGCACAGACAAATCCTCTGACAGTAGAAAGGGAAGCTGAGCAAATTTGCAGAAAAAAGTTGCAGCTCCCCACGATCAGTGTTTCGGCCATGCTTATCATGTAGTTAAACTTGGCACACTACTGTCTATTGCTGGGAGTCTTTCATTTGATTCAGCATATGGTGTAAAAGCCTCCAGAGATTTTGGGGTTGGAGCGATCGTATCTGGAGGTTTAATCCAGTTTGGTTGTCAATTACAAAGACTTTTGTTTCCTTTGTTGTAGTTTGGATTTATGTTTTAGTGTTCTGCAACACTAAAACAAATCTCAATGTTATTGTTTGTTTTTGGGTTAACAAAACTTCTGTTACACAGTTAAGAATGCAGCTCCATCAAAGGGTTCACATAGTAGTGGGTGCCAGCTAAATAGTTAATTCAACTCACGCGTGCATACATTTGGGGGACCCCCTGCCAAATGGTGCCGTTTGTCTTGTTTCTTTTTAGATGTTCAGGTGGTTGTAAATAGAGGACTCCGATCCAAAACTGAATAGGACTCCTTTACTTGCTTAACTGGCATTCCAGCTGAGTGTGTGTGTGTAACTAGTATGTAAGGCCACCCAAAGTTGACTCCTAGGGATACCTTTGTTCTGCAGCATCCATGTCCAAACATAAGTCCTACACAGCCTTATGATTCACATTCCTCCCTGTTCAATTTATTTACTTCCTTGTCTTTTCGCTTTATCCCCCCCCCATTAACATCGGCATGTGAATTGATGATCATTGAGGACAAACGTAATCTTTTCTTTAATCTTATCTCTTGCAGTGTAATGGGTAAACAATTGGCCCTAAATGACAGGTGAAGGTGTGTTATTCTCAGTTTTTGACATACTATAAATGAAATCCAAACCACACGGTTTTCCTTCTTAAAGTGCCCTAGTCCTCCTCCTACTCTATACACTGTTTTGGCCGTTTGTAATGGATGAATTACTACGCTGGTTGGTTTTGGGGGACTTGTAAATTGCAGTAGATAAGAGCGTCGGCTAAATACCTCAATGTAACCGAGACACAGAGCTGGATGCTCGCAGGCAGGCAGAAAGACTGCAAACAGCCGAACAATACCGCAGGCAGTATAACAAGGCCTTGGGTGCAGCACACATGCACAATGAGCCCTTTGTACTCTCTCTCTCCCTGGGTACTGTATGCCTTGTCAACTATGCCAGCTAGCATGGGGCCAGCTAGCATGGGGCCATAGCCCCCCTGAGCTGCCCAGGAGATCTCTTAGTGTGGGGGGGAGAATGTGTGCGTCTGTAGGACACACAGAGAAACCTTTGGAGCACCCTCGCCCCTCTCCTTACCTCATGCAATTCTGGCATGTTTCTTTTTTTATATATCTTAAGAGTTGCTGATGGAACTATTGCTGCAGAAGGAAAAGACGTGCTAGCTTCCTGTTGCCAAGAATATCACCATGCATTGAAGCTCTGTGAAGCGATCTCAATCATGTAGGAAACGGTGTTCGTTTGGAAAAACAACCATATTATAACATTGCTATTGTTGACCTAGTGACAAGAGTTACAGTGTCTAGTTGTTGCAATGGTTAGGGCAACTAATCAAGCCAGTCACGTGAATGTCATGGTTGCCCTGAATCCTTTGTTGCAACGCGGTCGATATTTACACGATTGTTCAAAGAAACGATGCATTCTGGATGCTGTCGCCCTGACAAGCTTTTGATGTTTACACACATGAAAGGAAAAGAAGACTCATTTTTAGTGGGAGAACAAATTTTGGATTAAGAATTTATTGATTTAAAGTGAAAAGTGAAGTGCAGCTGCAACCCGATGTTCGATGGCCTGATCTTTTCCTGATGCAGTGAAGCGCCCACAGAGCCAGATGATCACATGACGTGTCCAGCCACCCCGCCTTCCCTCAGCTCCTCGCCGTCTGGGGCACTTCAGTCCGTGTGTGTGTGTGTGTGTGTGTGTGTGTGTGTGAGTGTGAGAGAGTGTGTGTGTGTGTGTGTGAGAGAGCGTGTGTGAGAGAGCGTGTGTGAGAGAGAGCGTGTGAGAGAGAGAGAGAGAGAGAGAGAGAGAGAGAGAGAGAGAGAGAGAGAG